CGATCTAAATGATTATAAACGTTTTAAGGCAACTCTACGAAAATCACCGCACATCGGCGAATCGTTACGCCATATCGAATTAAAAACGACGGGGGAAAAAAAAAGACACGAGTTCAAAACGAGTTAGCTATTTTCGAAACGGACATCAGAGAGGAGGACGGATTGAATTTTTAACGAAAAGCTATTACTTTGCCAATCTGGCAGTCATGGAAATAGACGGAACGCGTCGTCAAAAATACGAACTATATTGATAAATTTCTTCACATATGTGAATCGCATTGATCTCTCTTTCTTTCGCGAGGAAAAATTCTTAGTGTTTCTTCAAAAAAAAAAAAAAAATATCGAACACCACATCTTTTTGCACTTTTTTTATCGTTTAGTTTTTTCTTGCTATTCTCAGTATTAATTATTTTCCACAATCTATCGTCGAATCAAAACTTTATCGAACCAAAGTCCGTTTATAGCGAAAACTAAGATATTATTTACCTCTATATTTGCCGCTTTGAATCTTGACGCAAGTCTGCGAATTTTTAACCGCTTGTTTCGATTGACGAAAAAAGAGCCGATATATCCACAATGATTGAAGAACACAACATGTTCTTTCGAAACATCACCGAGACTGCGGCACGATGGGCTGCGGACCGCTAACGCTCCGTATTAGAAGCGGCTCGATGCCGTAGTGATAACCGTTATCTATTCCGGACGTCACCGACGACCGAAAATAGAGATAATCGAAGAAGACGGAGAAACGACGAGGAAGCAAGAGAGGCGAGAACCGGGGTCGGCTCGGTAATGTCGAAGGGGACAGAAGAGGGATGAAAGGGTGGAGGGAGGGGGAGAGATTCGTCGAGGTGCGAGAAAGGAAGCATCGTTTCCGCATCGCGATTCCGCCCCGTCATTGGCTCCGATTCCGTGCTAACGTTAAACGCGCGCGCGAGTCCCCGACACTCGTGCGGCAACCAGCAGAGAGGGATCTCTCTCGCGGGGAGGAAAGGAGGGGGTGAGTGGGTTTTAGGGATGGCCGCTGCCGTCCTAACCCTCCCCTCCGTGCATCCCCCCGTCCTCTCGTCGATAATATACGATCGTGCATGATTCTGCTTCGTGTATCACAATGGCCCTCCGGGCAAGCCCGTTCCACCTCTATCTACGTACCTGGCGCGCCGAACTACCGGCGCCCGGAGTCCGCGGTGGATAATGAGTGATTAGGTAATTAGTTGTCCAATATTCGCCCCATCCGCCCGTTCCTTCCCACCCTCTCCCCCCTGGCCGTCTGTCGTTGTCTCCTCCCTCCCTGCTTCGTCTATCCGCGCGATCTTCGCCAGCATTCACCAGCGCCGCCGCGTGATCTCCTGCTACCGCTTGACCGGATGCGTTGACCGGACAGTACGGACGTGTTGCGATTGCTGCTACGATTCGCGCCGCGAGACACGTCGCGGGCTATAGGATCGCGACAATATTTCGACACGTCATTTTTTTTTTTTTTATTTTTCAAATTTTTATCTGTATCGAGAGGCCGAGCAATTATTGTCCTTTTAGCGTCTCGTAAGAGACTCGACATTACAATTTTAATTTTTCTAGCTGATTGTAAATTTAATGGAAAATATCCTAGGTGTGTGATACTGTAATTAAAAGATGTTGATGCAAGAATCACGTTTTCGAGAAAGATAAAGAAATAGAACAACTGTGCTGAGCGTAAAAACTTTTCCTCCAAAGAGATGTGCTTTGAAAGTAAAAAAATGGTCTTGAATTTTTTCTGATTAAAATACGCAGGAATGAAAATATGAAAAAATGTTCGCTCTTCCTCAAGACCCGTTCCAATTGCGTGAAAAGTCTGGGTTTCACGACGAGTATCGATTCGCAAGAGGGAAAGAGGAGAAAGGGTGAAAAGAAGGGCACATCCAGTCATATCTATGTCCGAAAACAAGCGGGTTCTCCAGGCCCCGCCGTCGAGGAACCGCCATATGTGCAGCGAGACTACCCCTTATAAATATAACAATTAAAAAGAGGGCTGGAGTACCAGAACGTCCTGTTTCCGTGGGTAAAAAGCCGCGGGCACTCTCCGTAGGACGCAAAACAGAAGGGCGCAGTTCGATTGTCGCTGCGGGCCTCTTTACTTCAGTAGGACGCTGAGAAATAACGGAAAAATAATGAATCGAATTTTTGATCGCTTTTAAAATTTCCCCGCTTTTTACAATCAACACGCGGATGAGATCCGCGCGAAATCGCGCGAGTAAAGATAATAAATTGTGATTTATTATTCAAATTAAACATGCGAATTATACATAGCGCAATTTCCATAGATATCGGTTAGTTTAACCGAGGTTTAGCTAATTCATGTCCCATTCTAATTCTGTACATAGATAATTAGTTAAATTCAAATTAAATTTAACGAATATTTATATGTACCTGAATAATTTTAATGTGATTTACGAGCTTATTCGATCTTATTTAACCTATCGTCATATATTATCATAATTATTGCATCGGGACTCTGTGTAGAGAGAGAGAGAGAGAGAAAGCAGATTACATTTCACTCCACAAAACCGTCAATAATGTTTTTCCGTAACGTCGTAACGGCCGTATTGGTTTTGACGAACAAGCGAAAAGGGATATATCGGGCCGAGGAAAAAGAGAGAAATAGAGATCGGTGAGCGGCGCGTGGGCGACGAGGGAGTTAATTCACGAAAGCGCCGAGGCGAATTCAATTCGCGCGAGTTAGCGCGTGACGAAATCGCCGCTCGTCGCCTCGTTGCCGGCGACCTAGGTCATAACTATTTAAATACCCGTGGCTGGATAAATTGTTGTATTAGTCACGCCAAGCTTATATTAATACACCCGACTCTCTCGTCGACTTCGCAAACCCGTTATTTCCCGTTGTTTCCCTCGACAAACGCGAAATGGATGGTGATACTTGGAGATATTTGTCTCCGATATATATATATATATATATATATATATATATATATATATATCGTTGGTTATAAATGTCTCAAACATCGAAGGTACATATAAATTACGAATAGCGATATTCGTCCTAAAATTATCTAGATATTGTTCAATTATACAAGACGGAGCCCCAATAGATAATGTAATTGACAAATGTCACGTGTTTCAACCGTGACATATTAACGAGATTAACTCCATGATTCATCTAAAATCTCCCACATTTCAAAGAATTTAAAAAAAAATGAAGATTAGCTCGTCTCTATTATACATATATACACGTGGGATAATTTCTATTAAATTTACAATCGGCTAGAAAAATGAAAATTGCATGTAATGTCAAATCTCTTACGAGACGCTTACTCGTAATTTCGATCGCGACGAATTTAAAAGGACATTTGCTCGGTCTACAGTACGCAATCGTTTCAAATTGAAGCAGCATTTTCTCTCCCGGATCGACTCGATGATGCTCTAGCGAAAAGCCGCGAAGAAGAGAGAGAGAGAGAGAGAGAGAGAAAGCGATGGAACGACTATCAAGGCGATTACCCTCGCTCGCGAGAACGACGCGCGCACGTTTGATCGCGTCGTCGTCGCGACAAATCGACATTGTGTCACTGCGCCTCTCTCGTTGCAGCAATAACGCATATATAATATACGCGCGCGAGCGATGCATAAACGGCGCGAGCGCGCACGAGCGCGGCATTACAGACCGCTGATGTAATACTTTTATGATCGGCCGCCGCAATTTCTCGGTGACAACACTCGCTATTTCTGTCGCCGAGTTTGTGCACATGACTGCCGCGACGAGCAATATATCGCGCAAATATATACGCACAACGCTCATGCCGATATTTATATAGGGTATGTTCCGTCACATCCGTCTTTTCGGTCTCTGAATAGAACACGCGGAGAAGTTAGATTCTGATATTTTAATCAGGCTTCGCGCGCGCCTATAAATATATAATGAGGACGTATCTTCGAGATAAGAGGGAAATGATAACGATGAACGATGACTTGCACGATATATCGCGCTCGTAAAAACGTGATAGCTTTTACGAATTTATATTTGATTTTGCTACAACTTTGCCTGACAATGATAATGAATTCATTACGCTAATATGTTTACAAGGCTGTATAACAATTAATATTTTTATATTTCCATATTAATAAAAATCTTTCCTCAATGGTCAAAGTCGACCAAACTGGTAATCATTTATTGTAGATAATTAGTTTCAGCCCTTTTCAAGTAAATCTATAAAAAGTTACATAAAAATAATTATAATTTTAATACATTTCATCGCAACAATTAATTATAAATTCATAAACAAAAAAATGTTACATGCCAAAAGTAAATGCAAAATAAGTTAATACAGTAAATCAAATTCACATGAACAATGTAAAATTGACAGAAGTAAGCAAGAAATAAAAAGATGTTCGCAAGAATCTTAGTCACTACGCGTTAAAAAATCGAGACAAAACTAATGTGTCTTTCGCAATCTAAAACCTCATAACAAAGTCAAATAAATAAATAAATAGGTAAAAATAAAAATAATAAACGTTGTATTTTAACTAATTATCTACAATAAATGATTGCCAGTTTGGTCGACTTTTACAATTGAGGAAAGATTTTTATTAATTATTACTGGCGAACCTTAAGAATTTTTATCTGTTTCCATATTAATTTATACAAAAATGCTCGATAAAAAAATGGATAAAAAAATGACCAAGCTTTGAATTTTTCGTGAAAAAATGAAATTCCGTCTCCAAAGTCAGAATACCAGTCGCTTGACAGGAAAGAATGTATCCAGACACCCCGTATAATATATCGAGCGCGCTCTTTTTTTTTCCGCTTCCTCCGCCTGCATTGTTCGTCCGTGTAACGCGAGTCGTTTCTCGCTTTCAAAACGGAGCTTCCTTAAGCGGAGGAGAAAATCGAAGCCGACGATGAGGGGGTACGCCGAGCGGTCGCTCGTTACGTAGGTGGAATCAAGGCGAAACTTTCCGCATGAAATTGCAACGTGCGCCCGGCCGTGTAATGCCCGAGTGGTACAACTCACCTGTACGTTACATGTCTTCGTACGCTGTCGATACCGCTCGCAGTAGAGGCTGCGCTTTTTCCATGCGGGGTGCATTGCTCTCGTCGAAGTCCGTCTGCGCGTTGACGCCTCCCCGCGATCCTCCGGCCTGTCATGAAACAGAGAAAAAAGGACGCGATTGAGAAAAGTGAGCGACGGGAGACGGCTCCGCCAGAGATTACCTCGAAAGTCGAACGGATTAATTAATAATCTCGGAAATTTTAATCATCGTGTTTTCTAAGATTACAATATGAATTGCTAATTATGTACAATATTGTTGCATTTGTAATTTGTATACAGTATAATTATTCCAGACTGGTGGACCAATCTTTTTCCAACAAAAGAATAAATAATTGTACATATTCTATATATTAGAATAACCAATTTTAATCGAGGATCTATCTTTGATCGACAAAAGATGACGATATCGAGTCTCGATATATTTATTCATAAAATTCGATTTGCTTTCTTATAAAATTTTCAATCAGACGCATATATATATATGTTTATATATTTGTAATTTGTATCACGGTATAATCATTCCAGACTGGTGGACCAATTTTTTTCCAACAAAAGAATAAATAATTGTACATATTCTATATATTAGAATAACCAATTTTAATCGATCTTTGATCGACAAAAGATGACAATATCGAGTCTCGATATATTTATTCATAAAATTCGATTTGCTTTCTTATAAAATTTTCAATCAGATGCATATACATATATGTTTATATATTTGTAATTTGTATCATGGTATAATCATTCCAGACTGGTGGACCAATTTTTTCCAACAAAAGAATAAATAATTGTATATATTCTATATATTAGAATAACCAATTTTAATCGAGAATCTATCTTTGATCGACAAAAGATGACAATATCGAGTCTCGATATATTTATTCATAAAATTCGATTTGCTTTCTTATAAAATTTTCAATCAGACGCATATATATATATGTTTATATATTTGTAATTTGTATCACGGTATAATCATTCCAGACTGGTGGACCAATTTTTTTCCAACAAAAGAATAAATAATTGTACATATTCTATATATTAGAATAACCAATTTTAATCGATCTTTGATCGACAAAAGATGACAATATCGAGTCTCGATATATTTATTCATAAAATTCGATTTGCTTTCTTATAAAATTTTCAATCAGACGCATATACATATATGTTTATATATTTGTAATTTGTATCACGGTATAATCATTCCAGACTGGTGGACCAATTTTTTCCAACAAAAGAATAAATAATTGTATATATTCTATATATTATAATAACCAATTTAATCGAGAATCTATCTTTGATCGACAAAAGATGACAATATCGAGTCTCGATATATTTATTCATAAAATTCGATTTGCTTTCTTATAAAATTTTCAATTAGACGCATATACATATATGTTTATACAGCTAAAAGATTAAAGATCAAAGGCTCCCATCTGCGCGCGCGAATACAAGCAACCCTTCACGCTCCCTCGGACACGCTAATCCGCAGAAATACGTAACTGCGGTGGTGAAGGTTGGCACGAACGGCAAAGCAAGAGAATGATTTATCGGCCGACTGACTTTTTCCATTCGCGTAAAGGGTGATCTTACCTATCGCGACACGTGTCTTCCGCTCCCACACATACATTTGACTTTTCGAAATCTAGTATAAGGGATTTGGAGTCGCGCAACCTAACCGTTGACAGCTCGCGTTCGCGAGCAATGTGTTTGACGTGTCTGGCCGAAGAGGAAGAAAGAAAGGAGAGAAAGGAAAAAGGGGTACGGGCGAGTGGCGAGCAACGGTTACAGCAGAATAAACCCCTCAATAATGAGTTCCGCGAGTGAATTCCCTCAGTGCGGAGAGAGGCTCGAGATAATAAAACGGAGCGCGGGACGCCGGCGGTAGTCGAAGGGAGACAAAAGGGGGTTGACTGGGTGGCGAGTGGGTGGAAGAAGGGAGGCAGAGGGAGGTTTCCGCACCGGCAAGAGTAATAGTAAGAGGCAATAAAATATAATGAAATAACATCCAATCCAGGAGAGATATTGTGAAAATATTATTACTAACTTATTACTCGTTGGGCACGGCGTACCACGCTCTCGACCTTTTTCTCCATTTTTCCCTACCTTGCTCTCTCACCCTCCCCCGTTCGCTTTTCTCTAGTCTTCATTCTTTGCCTCCTCCCGTTCTCGACAAATGTATACAGGGTGCGCTTCTGAAAAGGTGGGACTCGATAATATTACTTGCAAAGAATTTTTCCTTGGCGAAAAAATCTCCAGGCGAAGTTTCTCGATTTCTAATAATGTTGAGTATCTTGAAAATTAATGAGACATTAAATCTCTTTCTCGCGGATCAAAATTCACCGAAAATTAACTGTAAGAATATAATTTTTCATTTATGTTTATCGTCCGCGCACAATTCTAATTTAATAAAAAAAAGTTCCGATTGAAATGATTCGATGTATAACTATATTAAACCGAGCTAATACATTTAAATATTAGATAAAATAATATTAATCGGAAAAGAGTTAGAAAAGATAATAAGAGAGGAAATAAACTGTAATAATAAAAAATAGCACATTTTATACAAAGGTACAGCTATTCATGGTTGCCTTGTAAAAATGCCACGGAGCTAACAAGGGTCTCTCGACAGTCTTTTCTGTTTTGTCTGAAAACCAGCTTTCCGTCAGTCACGTAGTTTTTTACACAAATGTAATCGATTCATTTGTAATAAAAAATTTTTTCTCTTTTCAAGCGCACCCTGTATAAAACCCCCCTAGGTCTTTCTTTTCCTTCCGTCCGTTTCATGGTCGCCGGAGACGCGATAAAATTTCTCTCTCGTTTCCCTTATCGAGCACCAATAAAAATCGTTTACCTTCAGCAGATGGCGACATACTTCGGTCCACTTCGAAGGACACGCGGAGGAGGTTTCGTCCTCGCGTAAGAAAAAAATGCGAACGTTGCGTCGCCGAGTCGTAGACGACGACGCGCAGATTTCCGCGGCTCGTTATTTTAAATTAGCAAGCGCGCTTTTAAATTATACCAGGGCTGGATCTAGGAAATTCTCGAAAAGTCGGCCGCCGATGTTATAAAAATTAAATATAATTCAAGGAAAGAGCGAGTTTCGTTAGAGAATAAATTTATCGCGATAATCATTTTTATTTTCACGAGAGAGGAGGAGATATATATTTTCTTTTTGTTCCATATTCAGGAAACGCGCAAAAAGATAAAAAGGTCTCTCGGTCCCTCATTAGCAAAATTAATTAACTGTAAGATTACGGCTCCGTCTTCGGATTCGCGCGCGCGCGCGCGCGTTGCAACATACACGAGGTTGCAATCTTCCCGCGCTGCAACACGCGTTGCATCTACTAGCCTAATCGCCCGGCATCGCCGTCGAAATTATTCCCTTTTAGCGTTGTTAGTCGGTATATATGCGCTCGCGATTCGCGATCGATCCTCCGCTCCGTCCGGCTCTCTCGCATTTGAAATGCAAAGTGCGCGGCCGAGCATTATCTTCCAGGAAAGACCGGCGGACGAACCGGGGAAGAAAAAAAAAAAAAAGAAGAAAAGAAAAGAAACGCGGGGAGAAAAAAAAAGAAGCAGAAAGAAAAGATTATCGCGAAGCGAGATATCCGGAGGGAGATCGCGTTTGCGGTGACGAAAGATGGTTATATAAAACGAGGAGAGGGAGGGAGGGAGAGGAAAGTGACGGCGTGCAACAATCCTATCTGACCGTGTAAATCTCCGGGCGTCGTAACGAAGCGGCAAATCGAAACTAAACGGTAGCCCATGAATGGGAAATTAGAAAATAACGTTACGCCGGCGCGAGGCCGCGCGCGCTTCCGGCCAGGATACCCCGGTATACATATATATATATATATATATATATATATGTATATTTATATGTATATGTGTGTACGCGATGGAAGGCGAACGGAGCATTCTGTGTACGTGCGTGTATATATGAGTGCGTGAATGCGTGCGTGCATAGATAGGTAGATGCATACGTGCATACACGTGCGTGCGAGTCGTCTCACGCATCCGAGAGAGCTGCCGTAATGCGCATTATTATCTCGTAAGCGAAATCTGGTTACGAAGTCCTTTTATTAAGGATTTAATTGATCGACGACGCTTAAAACGCGAGCTCGCCATCCGCTCTTTCGATCCTCCTTTCTCGTTCTTGCTAAATAAACTTTTTTTCTCTCTCTCTTTCTATATCCGTCCATATATGTCCTTCTCTTTTCTATAATAAAATTTACCACTTAATTTTTTATACGCGATCGTTACTTGCGCCCATTTGTTTCTCCCGTCTTAATTGCATCGTCGCTAAATTGGATTCGGTGTCTTTCTAGATTTGCATTTCACTGTTATTTTCGAATTTTCTGGCCCGTCATTTTACACCACTTACGTGTGTATATCCCGAGTATATTGTTCTCGTGGGTTCCCACCCGGAACATAATAAACCGCCGTCCGTTCTATCTATCTATCTATCTATCTATCTACCTATCCGTCTCTCTTCCGCTCCGCCGGCTTTTTTTACCTGTGTGCTTTAAAGAGTTTAGCAATATAATCGGAATATTTTTACATCCTCCCCTTCCCTCGCATATTACACGGCAAGCCCCGTGTGTTTCGGACAAATTTTATTTCCGACACTCGAGATATTTTACTAAAATGGCAGAGATGGCTAGTGATGCAAACGACGAATTGTCCGCCGAGAGATAGTCATGAGAATTCTTTGAGAAAGATATGGTATAATACATCATTAATATTTTGCGTGAAATTAAATAATGCGGCAGCGTTAATTTTCTCTCCCATACTTTTCGGTATACATATTATTTGAATTCTTCATACATATATTTCAAGCTTTCACTCTTCTTACGTTTGCTTATTTATTTAAATCTGTCCGCAAGCAAATACACGTTTTGCTATTTATTGTTGTCGGGCCTCTCTCTCTCTCTCTCTCTAATTTAGCGGATACCGAGTTACATTGAAATCTGCATGAATTTGCTGAAAATACCATGCGAAATTTCGCCGCGAGTTGCGTTCCTGCGCGCTGGATAGCTATTACTTACGCCCGTCTATATTCCGAGTAATTTGCGAGAGTAGAACGAT